GTATAAGCAGAATAAATAATTACGCCATTATGTTTCTTTCTTAGTCTTTCTTTAACCTTTTCAACAAATAAGTAGGGAAGACCAGCAATAAACTTTTCTTTCCAATGGTCAAGCTGGCAGTCTTCTCTTATCAATAATCTTGAAAAGAATACATCTTTATACCACTTATAGTGGGATAATGTAGGACATCTTAAGTTTGACAGCAAATCTTCTGATCTTGCTACTAATAAAGATGTACTTCCTACAAAATGTAGGGTGATAGTATAAATTAAGGTGTTTACAGCATCACTTTCTATATAAATTATTTCTTGATTATGTTCATTTCTGGTTGTCCATTGTCTGGTGTTGGTTAGGATTTTATTTTTGGTTTCATCATCCACATAGAAATCCCACCAGCCTCTTAGCCAGCCTGTGAATCCATTTACTATTGGTTTGGCAACCTCTTGATCAGGGTTGCCGGCCATCTTATTGGCTGAGGCAAACATAATCATATGTCTCATGACATCTAATATTTGAAATCAGATAAGCCATCAATAGTCCAATTTACAATTGATCTGCCGGAATATGATATTGCATGTTGTATAACATCTTCTTTTAGTTGGACATCAACAAGTGTAGGTCTTTTATAATATGGTAAGGCTGTAATTGGTTTCCATGATTTACCATATGCTATTCTATTGAGATCATTGGTTGAGGTATCCATAAAGGCTAATTCTCTATTATGTAAATTATCTTCTATGATTGGTTCTTTTTCTTGAAGCATTAAATTCTCATATTCAGGAGGTTCATGGAGCACTAAGGTTTCATGCTCAGGAGTCTTTTGTTTACCTTTATCGGATGATTATGGGAGACTAGGTATAGGTACAGGAAGATTTATCGTTGGAGAGGGAATTCCTTTGATATCTAATTGAGCTAACTTTGAAATTAACTGATCCATTAATGTTTTATTATCTTCTCCAATATGAAATTTAGTTTTATTGAGTTCTGGAGGTGGTTTAAATAAAACAGTTTTAGGAGGAGGAGGAATTACTATTTTTGGTTGAGGTGTAATTAATCTTTTTATTCGTTCTGCTTGTCTTCCTAAGGATTGCATGTACAAATTTGTATAATTATTTTGTTCTACTATATAATGTATTAATTCTTGTTTTTTACCCATTTCCTTGGGCATAACCTTATAAGGTGTAGCAATAATTTCATATAAGGGTTGTGGTAGTTCTCCTTTCAAATGTGGAGTTTTTACACCTTTGAGTACTATACTTTTCTCAGGAGGATGGACACTTGCAGTACTAGTTCTATCTGTGCTTATATAAGTTTTTTCTTCTATTGTTTGTATATCAAATTGCGGAATTTAGATATTATATTGAGCACAGATTTCTTGTAACCAGATAAAAAATCCTTTAGTTTATTTTTCTTTTTTGAGGAATTTATTGTATTTTTTATGAAATAATTATACTAATCTGGGTTGAAAAGCTTTGAGATACCCTTCTCTAATACCTTGGTTTTCTTGTGACAAATAATCCTTTTTTAAGTATTCAATATCTACTTTTTTCTTTTTTGATGCTAAGAGGTATTTATCTATTTCCATATCTTATGTTTGGAGAGTTAATATCTGAAATTCAGTTATATCCGGTTCAGATGTATAAGTAGGTATAACTACATGATCCGTTGTTCTCTTTATTCCTTGTAATTGTAAATCTGAGGATCCTATAGGTATTGAAGGTGGAGGAAGAATGATTATTTCTAGAGTTGCATGACAAGATTTTCTTGCTGGGAGTATTGGTTTTTTTAATCTTTTTCTATTTATTCCTAAGTCATCTTGTACTAATGGTTTATTATTTTGAAATTTTA